TTAATATTCAACATTTTTTTGAAGATTTTTACAGCACGAGGGCACTTGATAAAAATACTGTTTTCAAATTTGATTCGGTCAACAATACTGCTTCGGCTACTTGATGACTTCGCCAGGGACCTGGTGTTAACGGAAACTGACATATTATAAAGTATGAAAAGCGGACAGGTTGTACCCGTGTAAACTTTTGTTTCTAATGCTATTATAACTAAGACTAACTTCAAATACTTTTTCTAATGGTGGTAATGCGATAAAATCGGTATTAAATCGTAATACCTAAACTACTTTTATGTTATAATTATTTTTATTATTACTACTTTACTACTACAACTTTTACTACTGCTGCTTCTTCTACTACTAATACTTTCACAACAACAACAATAGCAACAAGGACAACAACAACGACAACATCAACAACAACAACAACAACAACAATAATTACTACTACTACTGCTGCTGCTGCTGCTGCTGCTACTACTACTACTACTACTACTACTGCTACTACTACTAATCATAATAATAAAAAAATAATAAATGTAAAAGTGATAACACAATCAACCTGTAGCAAAATTAATAACAAATTTAATAACCAATGATAGAATTATAAGAATTTTGGTAGAAAATAAATTGTGCAATAATAATATTAATATAACTAACAATAATAATAATAGCACTCATTATTATTATAACTAATGTTGTTGTTACTATTGTTATTATTATTATTATACTTATTAAACTTAGGTTATACTGATGTCATGAATTGTTTTTGAAACTCGGATGGAATTTTTAGCTGGCTCTTATTGGGGAGTTTTGCTTGACTAACAATTGAAAAGATTTCCTTCATAATAGTTTTCTAGTAAGTTCCATTGTTATAATAATAATAATTATTATTATTATACTAAATTATCTTGAACAGACTTTTTAAAAATCTCTTAATAATTTGCATAATTAATTCGTCGTACTAATTAAAAAAAGCGATATTTTTGAACAGAAACTTAAAACATAAATTTCTTTTATAAAATTTTTATCATCCTTGCATCCATGTGTAAATGATTAGCATTGATGAATATTAATATCATATATTACTTGATTTTTGTTGCATGTTTTTACGGTTGAAATAAAATTCGTTCCCGTAAATTAATTAGTTTATGTATAAATTCTTTATTTATTTTAAACACTATCTTCCGATTATTCAATTAATTTATTTTTATAAAGTGAGTTAAAGGAAGCGGTTATTATTCAATCAGTCACTTTTAAATTTATTTTTTTCGATCCATTGTCTTTTCATTTGTTCGTTCATTCGTTCAATCGTTTATTCGTTTACTTGTTCACTCGTAATCTTCGTTCATATGTTTGTTTCTTTCTTTTTTGACTATATTTTTCGTACGTCTTACAAAGTCCATCCTTTGATTGCTTGTTCATTGACTAATTCATTTATTCTTTTGCTCACTTATTAATCCGATCATTTCAGTATTCATTTTTCAAAGAAATATGCACTTTTACAATCATTCTCCTACACACACAAACACACACACACACACACACACACACACACACACACACACACACAGACAGACAGACACACACACACACACAACACACACACACATATATATATAAATAAACAGCTTGTTCCGCGTTAGTTAGCTTTAATTTTTCAATTTTTCTTACAAACCATTGTCAAGTTTCTTAAGATGCAAACCAAAATTTTTATTTATTTTAAGCATGATAGATCAAAAAAGCTTTTTTCGGTATTCCTATACCATCTTCGGTGTTCGAATTGATACGATGTGTATGTGGTCGAACATCTGCACCAGTAAGCCAGAATTGATAATGGATCATAGCTATCCAATATATTTGTTGAAATGTAATATTGGTGGATGTGGGCACCATAACTCTGAATATATTGGTATGACGACGGCTAAGTTATCGAGAAGAATCACGAAGCACTTACAAACTGGCGCTATAAGGAATCACACGAAAG